GCCGATCAAGCTTCAATTTTGACAAGGCTTGAGTGGATTCATCAATACGAAACATCTTTTTCTTCTGAAATGAAATTCACTAGCATAATAAATACTCATTGTAGACAATGTAAGAACATTAAAAGAATAAAAATTTAATATTATGATAAAAATATGAATTATGAAACATCATCTAAATTAGTTAGATTATGATAATAATATGTTGTACCTACCCTTATGCAAATATAGGAGATCAGGGTACTGTCCCTTATGCAAATTCTGGTGTAAAAAACAATACATAGTTACATACACATTGATCAAAATCTCAATACACAAACAAAAATTGAATTATAGGAGAGAAAAAATTGCAGCATAGTAATTCACAATCACCATCTCGAATGTTCTATTCACAATGTTATTAAAGTTTTAAAATGAAAGGTTAATTTTATTTTGTTGTGGGGAAGGTGCTTTTACTGCTTATTGTAGCCAAATTAGAACTATTCTTGCAACTTTTGTAACTAGGTTTTCGAGAAAAGAATTGTCAAAAGAAAACAAAATGGAAGTTCGACATGCAAAGATTTTACTTTGACATTTACAGTAAAAAAGTCCAAATACCACTTAAGGAGTCAACTAATTTCCACTATTCTTCATTAATGGATATTTTAGTACAAAACAATTACATATAGAAGAAAAAACAACAAAAAATTAATTTCAATGAATGTACAAGCAACATAAATGATGTCCACACAAAAAAAAAAAGTCATTTGAAGTAGGGGAAAAATAGAAAGCTTTCCCCTTTCTTAATACTAGGTCACCTAACATAAGAGGTCGTTTGGATACCTGTAAATCCATTACAAGGAAATCTAGCATTTTCAGTATTTGGGTACATCTAAAAAGTATGGAAATGAAAATATATTACACACCATTTCCCCATATATTATGAAAACTATTACGCGTGGACAATTATGAGGCATGACGGGTAATTGCTTACGCATCATTTCCCCAAATCCCTTCGCTACTAACTTAGCCTCTCTTCTCTGTCCCTCTTCAAGCCTCCCATCTCTGTGTTCTCTCTCTACAAGCAAGCCATGTGGTAACCTCTGCGAGCAAATTTTCTACCTCTCTCTCTCGTAGCCACAAGCTTGGAGCAGTCTCGAGCAAAACTACTGCCTTTCTCTCTCTCTTGGAGCAACCTCTCTCACCCTATTTGAAAGTCAGCATCTGTCTCTCTTACTGTGTCCAAGTAAGAGCAATTTCTCTCTCCATCTCTCTATGAAAAAATTAAGTTTTTACCTGTTTTTCTATAACATAAATTTGCCCTAAAAAATTTAGGGCTTTCATTTTCTCTAATGCCCTATAAAAGTAGGGTTTGGTGGGTAAAAGATTATTGCAACGATAAACATTTTACATTCCAAAGGGATTGATTTGAGCTGGAAAGATTATGTTGATTTGGTTTGCTTTTTGTTACTCTAGTTTCCATAAAATCAATGAAGTTATAGGTTGATTTGACTCGTTCTTGTAAAGTGGAGTGAAATCCACACTTTTTTTATTTGGGTTCCTCTCTCTATTTATTTGACCGAGATGGTTTTTAAACTTGGGAATTTTTGTTATCGAATGGCTATACGTACTCCTTAACACACACATACATACATTATCTTTCTCTCTTTTGATGGATGATGATGAACTTCTCTATCAGTTTCTATATCGATTGTTAATGGTGATTATTAATACCATTATTTCTCTCTATCTTTGGAATGGTGATTATTAATACCTTTATTTCTCTCTCTCTCTCTCTCTCTAGAATGGTGATGATGTTATTATTATAAAATCTTTTTGGAATGGTATGATGATGACTTTAATTCTACATTTCAACGGAATTTTGTGACAAAAAAGAAAGAAATGATAGTTTATAGGCAAGTGCTGGTAAAATGTTGGTAATGCATTTCCCATATTTCTTCCATACATAGCTAAACAGTAGCAATATATTTCTAAGGTTGCATCTAAATACTATCCAAACAGTAACAATCCATTTGCAGATAATGTATTACAAGGTAATATATTACGCCAGTGATATATTTCACATACAATATATTTTCAGGTATCCAAACGACCCCTAAAGAAACACATATAACAACCATGTTTGTCTACTTTCTAAGAAGCAAAAACTCTCTCTTCACAACTTGAATGACTTGAGAAAAGGTTTGAATGGTTTCAACATCAATTAAGCTCTCCATTAATTCTCCAGTAAGATGGAGTTGTAAACCACAAGCGGAAGTGAGGACCGTACATAATTTCCTCTTTGATTACGTTCAAGTAAAACCTCCAATACATAATTTAGGATTAGCAAAAGACAATTCTTACCACAAAATCAATCAACACAAAACCAAAACTGGGTACTCAAGAAAAAAAAAAACAAACTGATTGTAACAAGAAGAAAGGAATTTAAACTAACACACCAAATCAGTCAAATTTAGAAGACACCCATTTCGTTTTATCAGCAGGAGAGTTCTTCTGCTCAACCAGTAGAACCCTAGAAGACCATTACCAAATTTTAGCAGAATAAAAGGAATAACAAAGAATAATGAACATAACCAACACTGAACAACGAGCAATCTACAATACAAATATAAAATTTTTTGGGTTCAATCCCTCACAAAAACCATAAAGGAGTTGACATAAGAGAGAAGCTTGGTTAATGATCTTGAGGTCTTTAGGCCCAATCAAGAAATTCTCAAGAGCCCAAACTATGACCCTTACATTCATGGAGATTAAATAAGTGATTATGAGGATACCCCTTGAAACTCCATTTTCATTAATAACGCTTTTTGTTCTTGCGAGTTTCTCTCTCTAGATGGTTTTATACGAAAAAACAAAAGGTTTTAAGAGGACAACTGCACCTGAGACTGGGACCCTTTTCTCTCTCTTGCTTTATCAACAAACGAGTCTTCTTCAATGAAATAGGGAATAATTCTTCTTTATTCTACTCGTGCTCTCTCTCTTTCTGGTTTCTTTGCTCTGTACACTGCATGCTCTCTTTCTCTCTCACTGATTTATTTGCTTTGCGTGCTCCCTCTCTCTTCCAAGAAGCCCTCTCTCCCACTTTTAACTGTGTGTGCTCTCTCTCTTTCTCTCACTGGTTTATCTGCTCTGCGTATCCTCTCTCTCTCCGCTAAAAAGCCCTCTCTCTCTACTACGGGCTATTTCATATGGGTTACTGGTTGAGCCCATGCCCCTCATTTTGTCACAACTTGAGTGAAGAAATCTCAGCCCTCAATTTTAAATCAATGGTTAAAAAAATAGGGGAGTGTAAAACTTCTATGCTGCAGGGGAAGCATAGAAAATTTCCCCTTCTATATATACTTCTTTTTTAAATAAGGGTGAGATTTGTATAGAGCTGAGGCTCTAAACAATCAAAATAAAGCACACCTCCAAATAATGTTGAGAAATGTGGTTTCAATACTGGAAATTTTTGTAATAGCCTTAAAATATAGTTTTATTTTAAATTATAAAATTTAATGCTTAAAAAAGGGTGTAGATCGAGCAGATCTATGAAAACTTGAAAATCTTGAAAATTGACAGTAAAAAAATAAGTTACAAAATATACTATTTCCAGAACTTGAAATCCATTTTTTTCTCATGTCCATGCATCTTGATGTCGAGACGATCAATTTGAGGATATTTGGGTACCAAAACAATATCTTCTAATGAAACTTTTTTAGCTAGCCTCTAATTTGATTGTTTAGAGCTTGGGCTCTACATAAACTT